TTGGTCCTCGCATGGGTGGTGGCTTCGGAGGAAGACACCATCACGGACACCATGGACATCATGGCGGCGGCTTCGGCGGTCCCGGTGGTGGTTTCGGTGGCCCAGGCAGATGGTAAGCCAGTAGAGGCTTGCATAGGAAGGGATGGGATTATGTTTACACGGCGCAATATTACTTAGGGAGGGATGAGATTTAGACAGCATTTCAATGATACCAAGTCAATTTTTTTTATCAACAAAACTTTCCTTTTTGCAAGTGTCTGGATCGTTATGGATTCCCACCTCTCAGTGATTCAACGGGACTCGCCATTAAAAAGTGTCCGGTCGCCGCAGAGGCGCGTCTTGACCATAATTCGCGGAATTTGAAGCACTCGTGGCCAGCACTCGTACTCGCTTTAGGCAACAACTTGCAAATTCTACTATTTTCGGGAATATGTCTCCGAAACAAGTTACTTATCACGTCCACTAGGGAATACTCCCGATGCGGGGAACCGCTGGGGTAAGGTGAAACTCTGAGCATCCCGCCGGTTGGGCAGGTATCCCAGCTTACGGATGTAACACTTGGGCCAAGCTGACATCAAAGGTGACCACAAGCGGACCGTCGGCCTGATATTAAATGGAAGAGGAAGCATGTGGTAGGAAACTCTGATATCGCAAATTGCTTCCGCGCCGCGGCGCCGGCGGGGTGCGAGACTACATTTATGGGCATGGTCCTCAGCATTGAGAAAAATTCGACGGTATTGCATCTTTCCCACGTTAATGTGTTCTATCAAGTTATATGTGATCATTCATCAATAGCTTCTCGTCAAGATGCAAGATATTGTGCTCGCGCAGGTCGCTAAGTTCGGCGGCGCCGCAAATTTCTCCTGCGGCGTGGCCGCAATCACCGGTCTTCTGTCACACTGGCTTTACTTCATCAACGGACCCAAGAGCATGAATGCCGCAAGCATCGTGGTATTTCATGCTATCGCGCTATCCATGCTACTTGCGAGAACGGTTCTGTCTTACGGCTTCTACGACGGACTAGTAGTCCACGCAGCCATATCAGGATCTTACTTCGCGGCCCTCTACACTAGCATCGGGGTCTATCGCATCTTCTTCCACCCCCTCCGCAGGTTCCCGGGCCCGTTCCCCGCTAGGATCACCAAGTTCTACTCGATGTGGGCCAACCGAGATTGGAAATTACATGATCGAATCCTGAAGCTTCATGAGAAACTCGGAGATGTCGTTCGGCTCGGTAAGACTTCAAGTCTTCTTATTCCCCTTTGCTGGAAGAACAGACAGAGCCTAACTCTGAATTCAGGTCCTAATGAAATATCGGTGTCGGATATAGACACGTACATTAAGTTCCACGGCCCGCAGTCAAAGGTTACCAAGAGATGGACTGGGTTTTACGGCGCTCTTGCTTCAAAACACGAGCTGAACCTTGACGCTATTTGGGAAAACGAGGCGCATCGGGATCGACGAAGGGTCTGGGACATGGCACTAGGGACAAAAGGTATGCTTTTTCACAATCTGTGCTTGGAGCATGATATGAGGAGCTTTCCACTGATTCCGCGGTATCTGTAGCTCTAGAACGGTACGAGGAAGAGACAAGAGCAGTTCTGCGCGCTTGGCTAGGCCGCATCGAAGAGGTCGAAGGCAAACCCATTGACACCGCCCTCTACGCCAAGCTGATCCCTTTCGACAACATGGGCCGCGTCGGTTTTAGTCACAATTTCGGCACGGTACAAGATGGCCGTGACGACCGAATGCTCGAGCTCATCGAGACATCCTTCAAATTGGCTGCTCGGATGGGTGGGATTTCGTGGCCACTGGTTCTGCTCTCGAGTATGCCCAGTTTTGGGATGGTGAAGGAGTTTGAAGGCCTTGGGGCGCGGTTGGTGGATGAGAGACTGGCTGTGAGACCAAATCCAAGGGCAGTAACTATGGGCGAAAGCTGACTTTGCATTGTTTCCAGACCGACTCCGAACAGTCCCACGACATGATGAAGTACTTTCTTGACGACTACAATTCAGAGAAGCCAAAGTCTTTTCGCAACATCAATGTCTTGTACTCCGACTCATTGGCCATCCTCATCGGGGCAACGTACGCAAGAATCTACCCAAACAACTTGCAAAGAAGGTTCCACTGACAGCTTTCTAGAGATACAATCTCTTGCGCATTGGGATATTCCTTCTACTTCCTCGCCAAAGACCCGAAGCTCCGCCAGCGTCTCTACGACGAAATCGCCCCAGTGCACAGCAAAACCGTGGCTGGAGAGTTTTCTGTCGCCGATCTAGTGAAGATTGAGTACCTCGACGCCTTCATCAACGAGACACTGCGCATGCACCCCCCGGCCGCGACCAACGGACCTCGAGTCGTGCCCCCTGAAGGTGTTACCTTGGCAGACGGAACGTACATCACCGGTGGCGTGACAGTCTTTACCCCGTTGCATGTGTACCAACGAAGTAAAGTTAGCCCGTGTCTCTACATTCGCAAGATGAGAGAAGCTGACACACTACGAATAGGCTCCAAGTACTGGAAACAGCCCCACGAGTTCATCCCCGAGCGCTGGACCACTCGCCCGGATTTGATCATCGACCGACGAGCGTTCGTTCCCTTCCACTACGGTAAGTCACACATGATTGGTATTTTCAAAATGAAGCTCACTCTTCACGCCAGGCCGCTTTGATTGTGTGGGTAAACGGCTCGCGATGAACGTCATCCGAATGACCGTGGCCTACACGCTCTGGAATTATGATTTTGAAGTCGCGCCGGGTGAGCATGCAGAGAGACTTCACAGAGAGTCAAAGTTCCAGTTGATTGTGAAGCCGGGCAGTTTGAATTGCGTGTTCAAGAAGCGACCTGAAGCTGGCTCGTCATGAGCAAACCGTCAGATGGGGTATGTCGGATATCTGAAGCTGATTCCATAGCTCTCAAATTTGAATATGATCTGTTCCAAGAATGAACCAAACCCGACGTTAAACGGTTTGCCGAACCTCTCGCGGCTTCGCTTGGTGTAGGACTTGGCTACCTAAGCGGATAGCGAAGATGACGATAAGGACGACGACGACGCCGACGCGAACGACGAGAATGACGACAGACACGCCAAGGACGGAGGCAGGGGCAAGAGTGATGACGGGCCTTGGTCGGAATTAATAAACAGGGGGCTAAGGTGCTTGGTGCCTTATATTGTACGCAGTTAATTTAATCTTTTATCTAAGACGGCCGTGGCATCTGCCACCTTGTCGCGACCCACGCCAGGTCATTGTCATGCGCCTCCGCTGGCATGTACCCCCACCGCTTCTTCTCAGTAAGCCACGTGCGGCTAGGCATCATAGCCTCGAGCATGTAGTAGTTATCGCGGTGGAAAGGTAGCTCGGTTGTGACGGGCCCCTGTCTATCGAGGAATAGATCGGACTGAGACTCGATGTCGGCCTGCGTCATCTGAAAGTGACGTCTCTTATTGCCCTTATTTTGACTGTGACGCTTGATGGCTACAACGGTGTTCTTGAGGTGGCTCTCCAGGATACACGCATGAAGCAGGGGAGAAGTAACTGCCCTGGAGACGAGGTTCATGGTCTGGTCGACGAGAAGACGATTCCACTCGGGCAAGGGCTTGCCTCGATCCATCATGGGAATTGGCTCGCCCTTTTCCAGGTTCTGCTGCCAGTTGGAGAAATCAACAGCGTTGCAGAGAGCGTTCCATCTGATGACGCAGGTGAGGCAGGTGCAGGTGCGATAGGGATCAGCGGGAGGGATATGCTGATAACGACGATGAATATTAAGCGCGGCCACTCTGTCTGGATGTTGAAGACGGCCGTGGGTCTCAAGTTCTACCTCGCTTAGATGAATCGGAAGCCGAAAGCATTTCTCCAGGATGGGGTATCTGGCGGCGATGATTTCGCGAGCGAGGATTGCCTCGTCGTGCTTCACGTACTCGTAAAGATGGCGACATGTGCGGGAGACTCTGAAAAGATCGCTGGGTAGAAGAAACACCATGATGTTATTGAGGACCTCATTGGGAAGGTCGAAAATGTGTGTTGGCTGTGACGACTTCTTGGCGGTCTTCTTCAGCATCTTACGCTGACGTCGCTCGGTGCGTTTGGAGCGTATCTTCAGATTCCCGGAGGCGGCGACGCGATCACTATCTGTGACGGCCTCTGTTGCCTCACCCCGAAGAAAAGTCTGGTTTTCTTGTGAGACGTCGGTTGTGGTGGCGATGGAGGCTGTGTCGGTTGCCGTCTCAGTCGCTTCAGTTGCTTTAGTCCCTTCGCTGGATGATTGAGAGGTCTCCAGATTATCCGAGACGGTGAGGGTCTCCATCTGAGGAGGAAGACTCTCATTCTCATCTCCAGTCGGTTCCGAAGAAGTGCCCATTTTTGAAAGGGACATGAAGAAAGTCAAAGCCGTCCCGGAATGATAAAAAAGCTGCGGTGAAGTCGAACACTCAAGGTTGCAGCTCGCTAATCGCCACAGGCCGCCAAGGAAGGAGCGATCGCTGAATGTGTCACGCCGGACCCCGCCAATGGGCGGTCTTTGGGGGCTGCACGGAGAACATCACGATTATGTAAGCGGCAGAATCGCGGATGCGGCGCAGAGGCTGGTCTGACCGCCTGCCTCCCATGACCAACCGCCCGCCCCCTTGCCGGACTTCACCTTCTCCCCTTTGCCTTCACTTCACGATGTTTGATGCCAGATATCATTACCTCAATCTCTTGGAAATGGCGAACTCGATGTTTTGGCTTTCGGAAATTTATGGTCCGAAATATCTATCAAAGCCCACCTGAGATCTCTCCAAGCTATCTGGACCAAATGGGCCAAACTGGGTGCCGTGAGCACGATGTCCATCAAACCAGTTGCTTGTTTTCTGAAGTGAAAGCAACTCAAAGCAACAGTACAAAGCCGTAAATTGGGTATCAATGCAAACGCCAACAATCAAGTTCAAAAAGCAATCCCGTATCCTACCACACTCCATCTACCACCAAAACACCTGTCCGCTGTAGCCGAAAAGATAGCACTCAGTTGTACGCGCTAGGCTGCGGCGCGCAGGGGTCATGGCCGTACTGAACCTCCCAGTACGGGGAATGAATGCCGCCAACATCGTACTCGCGCTGCAAAGCCAGGTATGCCAACTCCGCCTGGTTGCCGAAACTACCAAAGCGGTACTCCACGTCGCCCATGTCCTCGTTCATGACGATGGTGATGACCTCGTCAACCTCGAAGGTGATCTTCTGCTTGAAGTACGCAGTGAGAGCATCCTTGTTGACCACGTCGGGGCGGCCCTTGATGCGGAGCACGCGAGAGTTGTTGCGGCGGTTGTCCTGCGCAGTCTTGATGCGGTTGAGCTCGACCTTGGTGACGTGGCCGCGGACCTTGAAGCGGCGCGCAGGGTTGCAGCTCATGGCGTAGAACTTCTGCGCGGCGCCGAGCTCGAAGAAGACCACCTTGGCAGCCGCGGTGTGGTGGTTCTTCGCGGGCTCGGGGCCGCTAATCACCACGCTCCAAATGCGGCCCATGTTGCGGATCTCGGCGAGGATCTCGCGGTGGGTGACGTCGGGCGGAAGGAAGGTGATCCAAAGGGCGCAGTTCTCGCTATCGGGGATGTCGGCGGAGCGATTGCGTTCGATGGTCGGGTCGCCGGCGTAGTTGGGCGAGATGCCGTACATGGCCTTGAGCGCGGCCCTATCCTTGTCGTTGTCCTTGGCCTGGCCCTGTTTGGCACGCATGGCAGCCCAAGTGGGACGGAAACCCTGCGGCTGTCGACCTTCGGTTGGCTGGGAAGAGGTGGCGTTGCTGGGAGGGCCATACTGACGGGGGCGATGCGCATATCCAGAGCACTGCGAGTTGCCCGTGGCCGCCTGATATCTAGCTTGTGAACGTGCCAGGCGAGTCTCCCATGAGCCTGCGATGCGACGGCTGGGCATGGGCATTGCTTCCTCGTCTGAGGAGTGGAAAGATGGACGTCTGCGGTGTCTGACGGTGACAAGGCCCAATGGATGCGGGAGCCTACTAAAGTTGTGCCAGGGAACTCCCCTAGGCCCCGGAGGAAACGCCGACAAAGGGTCTCTAATAGGCGGAAGCGCATTCTTGCGCGGCCAAGTTAGCATCAACGTTTCAGAACGTTCTGGTACGAGGGGACTCACGAGGAACCGAAGCGGAGCATTCTCGACGGTGGTGGGAGCCGAAGCGTTGGCACGGACGGAGCTCGAATTGCCCATTATAACGGGCTCGCGACCAGAGTCCGACTCGGAGTCGAAGTCTGAATCCGAATCGGAAGAATCAAAGGTGACTTCCGCAGCCGACTTCGCAGCACCAGTCTGAGATCTAGGGCCCGGGGTAGGACCCGAGCCGATGGACAATCGACTCAAGCCAAGGCTTGGGTTGACCGCCATGATAGCGTCGCGATCGGAAGACGCATGGTTGGCATTCGAAGTCGACCTTGGGGGACGGGTTGGGTATTGAGGGCCCGAGGTTGGAGTCAGGTTGGCGGGCAACTGGCCTGAACCAATGCTGGGGTTGACCACCCTGATAGCGTCGCGGTCGGAAGACGCATTGATGGGATTCGAAGTCGACCCTGCTGGACGGGGGGGACGAGTTGGGTATTGAGGGCCCGAGGTCGGAGTCAAGTTGCCGGATGATGAGGGAGTGAGGATTACCCCATTCTCGATGAATCTGGATGTGGATGTCCCAGAGATTCCGAAGAGCGAAGTCGAATTGGGGGCAGATGTGGTAGACCTAGAGCTGCAGTGGTAGGTTAAGGGAGGGACCGGATCCAAACGGACCCAAGGAGAAGAGTTGTCGCCGATGGAGGGAGGTGTGGGTACTGGCCATGGCGCGGGAAAATCTGACTGGTTGCGGAGAGACTGTACACGGGAGCCATGATGTATGGCGGGAGTTGGAGAGTCGTCCTGGTTGAGGGCTGCGAGGGTCGACGGGGTGTAAGGGCGGAAAAGGCCATTGGTTGGCTCAAGCCGGTTGGCAGTGGGAGGACGCTCTGCCAGGGCACTGGGGCTGTCGTCTTGGTTGATGATGCGCTGGCTATTGAAGTTGTCTCGGGTGTTGTTAGGCGCCATCTTGAAATCGTCGACGGGTGGTCTCGAGGTAGGGCTGCGAAGTGGCTGCGCGATTCAATGAGTCAGTTTCACACCCCTCACAGACTCAGTCAGTAGAGACTCACTTGATGTGAAATGTTGGACGCGGAGGTGGTAGCGATGATCTGCTGCGTTGAACTGGGACAAGAACGATCGCGTGCAGAAGTGAACGAAAGATAGCTTTCTGTGATGATGTCTGTTACCCTTTGTTGTTTTGGACGGAAGGGTTGTGCTGTGGTTGAAAGCTTTTGGATTGAGTGAGATTGTGAAAGAAGATGGGAGATGAAAGTGGGTTGAGGTGATGATGGTGGGTGAGGAAGATGGAAGCTGTGGATTGGAGGAGAGATGGGACGATCTTTTATCCCCAGACGTCGGGGGAGAAGAGCCGTGGTGTGTAGGTGGCCTGAATGGTCTGGGAGGTGGGAGAAGGCAATCGCGATTTGAGATGGGCGTGGCCTGAACCTGGTGGAGGTGAGGTGAAGGTTCCAACGCGTCGTCGAGAACAGTCCTGGGTGCCAAAATAGCAACAAGACGCGCCTAGAAGCGCCTCGGACGCGATGAAAACCCGAAAAAGGTGAGTTGAAGGGCGACAAGGAGACGACAGGCAGCAGTATAATGAGATGATCGCCTGAGGGGGGTCCTTACCCGTCTTTGTTTCGTCTCCTATGAAAGGTTGGCGAGTAGGTTGTGAGGGGGCCCGGGGCACTTCGAGGGGAGAAGACGCAAAGCAGGCACCGGTGGAGAAAGGGAGCGCAGGATCGCAGTGAGATTGAAGTTGTTGAGGTAAGGTAGGTAGGTTGGAGTGAAGTGAACTGAAGTAGGCAGGCTGAAGTGAAATAAAGTGGGTAGACTGAAGTGGAGTGAAGCGAGGTGGGATAAGTGAGGTAAGGTGGGAGGAAAGATAATGAAAATACGTACCAGGAAGGCAGGCTCTCATGATAGAGAGGCTCCAGGTGAAGATTTGACCCAATCGATGAGGTTCGCTGAACCTGGAAGGTAGCAGTTGAAGTGCTTAAGTTTAAGCGATATTGTTGCTCATGAACTGCTACCATAACGGACCACTCGCCGCAAGGATCTGTCCTACGCATGGTGACTACATACGTACGCGAAAATACTATTCAACCTTTGTGTGTCGGCCAGGCCACCAAATCGGAGGATGAGTTGCATAAGTAAACTTCGGCCCAGTACGCTTTTGCTTATTAATGACCAGGGATAAACGAAGGTCTAGTATACCGCAAAGAGAATCGAGGTACTTAGTATCATCGCAGAGCTTCCGCGTTTGTAGGTAGACACGGCGCATGAGACAGGAAGTAAACTTGCTGCAGCGTATTCTTGCGAATAGCAGGGCCGGGAAAAGAGAGACTCAAAGTGCTCGCTTCTTTCACTCCAATGCCTGTACAATGGTGATTCCATGAGAGCGGGGTTCTGAAGCCTATATGACTACCCTTGGCATCGAAATTCGTAGCAGAATCACCTGGGCGATGCCGCGATTAGTCTGTACTCAAGTAAGATGCTCTCTGGAGGACTTGTGGTGAGTTGTTTGAACCAGCAGGCTCTATTGAGTAGAATCGCATTGAACCCTCCAGCCAAATGTAGCAGCGGAGAAAGAATTTCACGAAGGTTTAAGAGCTCTGCCGAGTGGAAACATACTGATTATCGACGTCGCGGCTCAGGCCATCGGCGTGATGGGACGAAGCTGCTAGATGGTTCAGGAAATGGTGTCGATGTGCCTTTCATAACTCAGGAAGGTAGCAGAGTCTCGATGATGCTCCCGCGGTAATTCTCTAAGATCGACTTGCATCCAGACAAAATAGGAGTTCGAGAGTCGCTTGGTGATAGGATTTGAATGTCCCAAAACTTGGAGCCGGGTGTTAGTTAAGGGTAGTGAAGGAGGTGTGGTCTTTCACAGAAACTTGAGACTGGCTAGAGAGTTGGAGCGGTTTCTATACACATGTAGGCGGTGATGCGACGAGTTTGTAAGTTTATGAAATGAACCACATTGGGTTTTCAAGTCAGGCATTAATATTAACGATATGGGCGAAGCAATCGGTCTGGTCAAGGGGAATTTTCAGTGAATCATAGGCAGAATCATAGTCAGAGTCTCCAAATTGTTTCCTGAAATTGGGATGTTTGATTCGATTTTCTTAAGGCCTTTGTTAGCCGCCAGTCAGCGAGGAGTCGGCGTGAAAGGCCAGGAGAAACATCTGGGCTGTTCCAGCAAGGAACAAAAGCTTTGAGCAGGCTTTTCGTGGGGTCGAAATGCTATTCCGAGATTCCAAGCAACTTCTAACTTCATGTCGTCAAAGAAATATGATTCACACGCATTACAACCTTTTGCGCCTTGTCAAGCCAAAACACGATTCTCAACAAGCGATCGTCCTTGCAAGGTGAATATTTAAGTAACACGCCACGAAAAGGATTGATGTGGGCATAATTGTGCTCTTTCTGTGCATGGCTTCATTATTACCGCGTCGCGCGATGCTGCGTTCAATATACTCCCAATAAAGCTGCCTGACAGGAAGCCACGAGAATAGAAAATCAAGAAACCCACTGTGTCTTTAACACATTCCGGTGTTGTCCTTTCAAGTGTGGTTGGTTTTGAATCCAAACAAACAGCTTTGACTTATTTCAACAAAGTTTTGATACTAGCAACGCAATGAAAACACATAGAAAACATCCAAATTTCGATGGAAGTGACGATCAGTTCATCAATATCAGCCCCTACTATTGAGTTCTCAAGCAGGAGATGAGTCAGAAAGCACGCGTTATGCCTATAATATGGTGGCACGCTACCTATTTGACGAAGTCGACTTCGTGAGAGCTATCACCGCCGACACACCAGACGAAATTCCCGTCAGAGACTGCAGAGCCTCATGCTGACCACGATTCTACTACGTCCACATCTGAGCCTCAAACCATGTTCTTCTGAAGCACATGGAACAAATGGAACCCGCAAGGTCAATGTAGCAGATTCTGCCTGAACGCCGTGTTCGAGTCCAACGTTGTGTCAGGTGCCTTGTGTCTCGCGTCTGCGCCCAGCGGTTTTGTCACCACGTTACAATCTCGGTGTCAGGTAGGACAAATCTCGTTGCGAGGATTCGAGACATAACGCAGAGCGAAGAGCCACCCAATCACCTCACGTCCATTGCACATTTCTTCCAGCCTGTTTAGCCTGCAGTCGGGTGGCTGCTTACGTCGGGAAAACGGCTGCAGCCGCCCGAAGACTTGACTCTTTGCCACGCGTTTGAGGGCGTCGCCAAGTTCAAATTCCCAATCGGCTTTTCCAACCGTCCCCCGACGACATGGAACGTCGTTTATTCTGACCACTCTCGGCCGAACTCTCTCTGGCCCGCCGAGACAATCTCATCTTACGATTTAGAAGCCCGTCTTGAACCATCTCGTGCACCAGAGTCGGAGCGAGATCGAGGCAGTATGGACCCCAAGTCTTGTATCAAAATCGATCCTCCGTGCCGAGAGGTCTCATGATGGCATAGCAGAAGCCAGAAGGCAGATTTGCGGCGGCTGAGTAAGATGTCCACCTAAATTTTCACTCCCTTCAGGTGTATCAACTTCCAAATCAGCCTCGGTGATCTGCTTCCACGACAGACTATTGCATTTTCTAGTTTTGTTTTGTTCCTCGTATCGCAAGATCAGCCCTGTTTGGGCTCCTTTGCATCCTCCCTTGCGCCGGGAAGTTTCCTCACGTCAACCATCACAGGAGAATTGGTCACTCTGTCTCACCCGGGGAACCAGCGCCACGGAATGGGAACCTTCTCGAGCAGCCCGAAGCGAGAATTCCTCTTCTGTGGTTCAGGGATGGCAAGATTGTCGGGGTTCCACAAGAACATGCGGGGCATGGGCCCCAAAAAAAGAAAGCTCGGTGAATCACATCGCCTGGCCAAGGAATTGAGGGCATCACGACCGGAATGCCCTCACAAAAGAATTGACAAAAACAACTGCCGCGTCACAGCAGCGCGACCATAGCGAACTCTAGATGCTGCAAGCTGACCGGTCATCTGCACACGTTTAGGCCAGTGAGGTAAGATGGTCAGCTTTGTTGTTTCTTTTCGAATGTGACAATCGGATGATGTCTTTACACCCAGCACGACAGGCGGTTACACATCACTGTTCTGATGGAAGCTCACATGCATCGATCGACCCCGACCGGCCCAACCTAATGCACCTATCCACGCGCCCGGGGGACCCAACCGGATCTTGGGCTCTTTCACAAGACAAGGGGTGTAGATCTGGGGAAAAGCAAAGCTAGAGGAAAGGGGCCCTTGACGAAATCAAATTGAATCGAGTAAGCGCTCAGCTCTTCCAATGGGTTCGTCGCGACCGCCTCATCGTACGCGAGACCTTGCATCATGGTGTCTGAGCTCGCAGTTCTAGTTGCTTGTTGGGGCCCTCGGATCTCCTTATAATTGCTTTTTTCTGCAGTGATGGGAGAAACTCTCCTGCGCCGGGGGGCCCGTCTCCTGTCGGCCGGCCGGTTATCTGGGAATGTAACCATTATGTAAACCCGCAACCCGCTACGTATCGACACCGTTCTTTTCTCAACAAGGGAGGGGAAACACTCGGCAGACCGTCCAATGACGCCTCGCTGCATTAGATTCCCCCCCTCCGGCTTTCTCCCTCCCTTCTTCAATAACACGAGTTCTCACTTTCTTCGAGTCACCTCTTGAACCGGGAACCCAATGTCTCACGTTAGCGTGCGACTGGGCGGGCTGATTCCCAAAAGATTTTGTTTACTCGGATCGACCCCCTACATTTGATCTACCGACGTCTACCAGGTGGGAGGATCTCAGACAATGCGGCGTCTTTATTATGATTCTTTTTTCTTTCGAGAAAATTTTGCAAATCACACAGGGACCCAAACGCGCACATTGTTCACTCGAGACTGATTTCGTCAGCAGTTGATGCGACCACAGTCGTTAGATCAGAGTTGGGGGCTTTGCTAATTGCTCCGGCGCACCTTATTA